TGAGATCCCCTTACCGGTCTTCTAAAAAAAAAAAAAAAAAAAAAAAATCCTGCTATAGGCTGTCTGGTTAGCTCAGGTGGTTAGAGGACAGTGTTGTAACACCAAGGTCAAGGGTGTGATCCCCTTACCACCAGCAACCAAAAAATAAATAAACATGACCTGTTATGGTCTAAATAATGGTGTCCCCCCCAGATTCCTGTGTTGGAACCTAATACCCAATATAATAGTATTAAGTGGACCTTTTGGGAAATGACGAAGTCATGACAGCTCTGCCCTCATGAATGGGATCAGTGCCCTTATAAAAGAGATTGAAAGGGAGCTACCTTATTCCTTCTGCCACCTGAGAAGGCAGCAAGAAAGCGCCACCTTTGAAACAGAGAGCAGGCCACCACCAGCCACTGAATCTGCTGGCACTTTGATCTTGGGCTCCCCAGCCTCCATAACTGAGCAATAAATTCTATTATTTATAAATTATCCAGTCTAAGGTATTTTGTTATAGCAACTTGAATGGACTACTACAAATCCCTGAATCTTGTTAATTCTTGCCTCTGGGCATTTGTTTATGTCTTTCCCCCTCCTCAAATACTGCCTTGACTTCACTTTGTTAAACTGCCCATCCTTTAGGTTCAGCTCAGAGTTCGGCTTCCCTGGGAAGCTTCTAGGAGAAACCCCCTTCCTGCCCCCATCTCCTGCCTGGATGAGGTATCCCTGTCCTGTGCTTACTCCAGCACTGCGGTGTTCACACTGTATCAGACCTAGGTGGTGAAGGGGGTGGGAGAGGGCAGAACATGGCTGTGACAGCTCCAGTGAAGACATGTACTATGCTCTGCTTGCTGGTGTATCCCTAATACGTAGCCCTGTTCTTGTCCAAGAGTTGGGGCTGAATAAATGAACAAACCCATCCCTCCCCTCTACAACCAAACTCCCTGCAAGAACGTGGGAACAGAAGGCATTAGCTTCCAAACAAGATGCCTACCACCTAGGTTCTAAGAGAGCTTCCAGGAGGAGGCTGTGCTTCCCTGCTCCTGGTACCAAAGACTAGTGGGGTGCATTAAAAGCTACTACTGGGAGATGAAAAGTACAAGGGACAGAAGACTGAAGGGAAGGAGTTCATCACATTTATTTATTGGTGAACAGGGTAAACTGTACAGTCAATTAATCTGGGCCAGGATGCTCCAGAATGCTTCCCTGTCAGGGCTCTGCCAAGAGGGTCAGAGGCAGCCTTCCTGGGTCAGTACTCAGAAGGAGCCAGTCTGGGGCCATAGTGCTTAGCACTGCAGCTGGACCCCTTGGTGGGTAGCATTTTCTGTTGGTTTAGCCCTCAGCACCCATGCCCGCCTGACTGCCCAGCTATAGGGGGGCAGAATGGACTAGATGAGAGGAGAGGATGGTGGGAAGGAGGATGAGACCCTGGGCAGTCCTCAGGGAGGAGAACCTGACATGGTGCTCATGCTGGGGAGGATGTGGGCAGTGAGGACTGTGAACACCAGAAAGAATGCAAGCCAAGGTTGAAGGATGGGCCAGTAGGGCCCAGCGAAGAGCTTACAGGCTCAGATGATATTTTGTTCCTGGATCTTCTCTCCCAAGTAAAAGCGGCTGAAGAGAAAAGGGTTCATGTTGATGGTCTGGAAGTGGCCCTCCAGCACCATCTCTGCCACAGCTCGCCCCACAGCAGGGGCCTGCTGGAGTCCATGACCACTGAAGCCTGTAGCAAAGTACATGTTGACAACTAGTGGGTGGGGGCCCACCACACCATTCTGGTCAAAGGTGTTGTAGTCGTAATAGCCAGCCCAGGCGCTCCGAACCTGCGGGGGTATGAGATGGGGGTCTCAGGAAAGCTGCAGACACACTCAACCCTCACTCCTGGTCAGGGGTCAGCACAAAGTCCCCTCTACCCACTGCAGAGGGGTCCATGGGATGGGATGGGTCCAACAGATAGATTCTTTAACACTTGTGAGGTAGTAGGAATATGGCAGTGGACAGTTCCAAGGGGACCAAGATGCTCCAGGGTCATCCATCCTGTCCAGTGTCCAAAAATAAACAGAACAAATCACCCCCTGCTCATTACCTTCAGAGTCTCAAAAGCTGGTACCCTCTGGGCCAAACAGGGCCACACCTTGTTCTGGAAGAAATCATGGTCCACTTCCAGGTTCCCTGGGTCCGGTTCCTCCTCCTAGAGTGAGAAGTGGGGACAAGGCTTATGTTGCCTGGGACATGAGGGCACACCAAGACCTCAATGACCCTTTTAATCAATCCCCTTGGTAGGTGGAGGATGGGGAGAATGATTCCAGTTCCAACCTGGAGAGGGCTGCTACATCAATAACCTAGCACAGGGCCCATCCAAAAAGCCTAAGTCCTTCATGACAACTGGCTTATGTCTCCTCAACTTGTCCCACCCCACTTGGCTTACCTCAGTGGGGCTGCAGCCACCCAGGTAGTTGTTGCCTAATCCTTCCCGGCGGAAATAGGCTCCACTGGTGTCTGTGACAAGTGGAGTCTCCAGGCCTGGTCCCTGGGGGCAGTGCCATAAGTACACATACCTGCCATAACCAGCGGGGTTAGGAAGTCACAGGAACAGCACAGCCAGAGGTCCTCCCCACCCCTGCCCTCACACACGTGAATGCACACATTTAACCAACTTCTGTATCATTTCTTTCCTTCTCACCAACCTCTTCAGCTGCCCTGAGGGAAGTTACCTTTTCCTTGGCTCCACGGGTAGCTTGGTGCCCTGCAGGGTGCCAGGCGGCCCCTTCCCAATACCAGCCAGCTCTGCGATTTGCCCAGACCAGGCTCCTGCTGCGTTGATCACTATGGCACATTCCACAGGCTGGTACTCCAGGCTGTTGTTCATCTTCACCTGCAGACACCAGAGGGTGAGGGAAGGGAGGGCCTGGACCACACACGGGGCATCATGAGAGGTGCACTTCTTCCTGAGCCTCAGTGAACCCATACTGGAAAGTAGGTAGAAGAAGACAATAAGAACAGTCATTCCCTTTCTTGTCCCTCCACTTTGGTAAAGAACATACTTGGATTAGGAACTTACATGGACTTCATAGATCCTTTTCATGGTCACCTCTCCCCCACTTACAGTCTTCATGGTGTTAGACGAAGAGACAAAACCTGCAGGAAAGTAAGTAACGAATAAGCCCTTGAGGGCCCAAAGAGGAAGGAAATGGGGAATTCCACTGGTTTCGTAAGGAAAGAAAGCTGGAAGGATGGGAGCTTTCCCAGAGACACCTAAGCAAACCAAAATCAGATAACCTGGATGAACTTGACCACACTCAGAACAAGACAATGCTGAAACTGTCAAGCAGATCACAGGTCACAAAGTGACCTAGGAGTCAGGATGCCTAGGACCAGCCCTCAGGAGAGAACCCCTTTCCCCATCAACCCTTGCTTGGCCTGTGAGTGAGAGGATAAGACCCAGTCTAGGCCTGTGCCCTGGTTGCTAGGGGAAACAAGCAATGGGCAGGGGCCTAAGACTCACGTGTCACCTCTCCCTGGCAGAAAAGGACTCCCATGGACTGGACCTTGCGCCGAAGCCCCTGGAGCAGACACCAGGGGTCAAACCAACCTTCGTCTTCCATCCCTGTGGTGAGAAAAAAAGAACTCACAAAGAGGGATTAGGACTCCTCTGTTCCTATTGTATTTCCTGCACCCCCACCTCTTCCCTAGGGCTTGTAAGCCAGGGAACGCCATCTCAACCAACTGGACCAGAGAGGCAAGTCTTATGGAAGGACAGAGCACTAGCACGGCCTGGGGCAAGCCCTGTTACCCAGGAGGGAATCATTCCTCCTTCATTTTGGCTGTGGGGTGCTGAGACTTCTGACCTGAGAAGTGCTCCTCAATCCCTATCTGCAGGAAAAAAAGCTGTCCCCTTTGCAAGCAAGCCTCACCATAGGATGCCAAAGCCACTCCCTCTGTGTTTATCCAAGGAAACTTCTTCTGAAGCTGCTCAGGAGACATCAGACAAACCTTGGCTCCTTCCTGCCTGAGAGAAATGTGTGGGTCTGTGTATGTGTGTTAGAGAGGGTGAGTGTGTGGAAGGGAGGAGTATAAACCCCCAGCTCCACAAATTCATGTCGCTTCTCTGCACAAAACCCCCCAATTTTTCCTCATTGCCGAGTGAGGAAAGACCAAGCCTCCTAGTCAAGGTTCTTCAGCATCAGCTCCCTCTTTTCTTTCCTACGCCCTCGCCTCTCTTGAGCATACTCAGCTCCTTGTCCCCCCCAACCTGTTCCATGTCCTTTCACATCCCCATTTTATATGTGGGTAACCCTGTCCTTCCACCCCCTCCGCTGGAACGGCCTTCCTCTCCACCCCCACGTATCCCCTCTGGGACACTGCCCCCAAAGACAGCATAACATAGGTGCTAAAAGAACACTCTCGCCAGCCAGACTGCCTGGTTTGAATCAAATCCCAGGGCCACCAATTACTAGCTCCTTCTGCCTCAGGTTCCCCACATATAAAATGGGGATGTTCTGATGATCAAGTGAGTTACTATCTGTAAAGTATTTAGGACATTACCTGATGTCACTAGTGAGACTTGTAGAGTGTTTGCTAAATAAATATAAAACAAATAGAGCCTCCAGCCATAATGTAACACACAGACACCCACCCTTGACTGATGATGAGAATCACTGAAGGCAGGGGTTGCCCAATCCAACCTGTTGCCTATTTCTATAAATGAGCCACACTAATTCATATTCTTATATATATATATATTTTTTTGTTTGTTTGTTTGTTTCTTGTTTTTTGGTGGCTGGCCAGTACGGGGTCTGAACCCTTGACCTTGGTGTCATAACATCGTACTCTAACCAACTAAGCTAACTGGTCAGTCCTATTCATTTATATTTTTGTCTGTGGCTGTTTTTGTGCTACAAGGGCAGAGTTGAGTGGTTGCAATAGAGACTGTATGGCCAGCAAAGCCTAAAATATTTACTATCTGGCCCTTTACAGAAAAAGTTTGCTGATCCCTGACTTAGGGTTCTTGTTAAAAACCCAAATTCCTGGGCCCCTCCCTAGAGATTCTGATTTACTAGGTCCGGATGCATCACAGGTGGGTCTTATGATCTGGCAAATTTAGGAACCACTGCAGTAGCGTTTTGTCCATATTTTCGTGATAGCACTCTCCACAGGGCATGGAAGGTCTATATGTGTCTGTCTTTCCTGACAGACTGAGCTCCTAGATAGTAGGGACCTATCATATCAACTCCATCTTCCCAGTTCCTAACTTGGCATGCGAGTCACCAAATGTGTGAGGTTGAGAAGCAGCTCAGAGGCCGTGCCAGGCACCCACCTCTGCACTTTCACATTGTTCTCCATGGCTGCAGCACCCTTTTCTGAAGCCAGCAGGAGATAGCCTGAGGGGTTGAACTGGAGGTCCAAGGGAGGGGCATCCACCACAGCCAGGTACTCCTGTATGCAAAGGAAAGCTCCTCAGAGAGGCTGACAGAAAGAAGTGAGGGCAAACGTTCCTGGCTTCCCCACCCACAGCTCCTGGGCTCAGTGCTCCAAAGCAGAGAGAAGCCCCCTCCAGGCTCCACCACCAGGAAGCAAAAAAGCCGGGGTCCCAATTCCTAGTCGCCTGAACTGCTCCTGCTCCATGGATCCCCTTGCCAGCTGGGCTGCTCCTATTTCTGGGCTAAAGGAGGGGTCACCACCCCAACCCCCCAAATCTCATTGCACATACATTGATGTTACGTAGAAAGTTGACCGAAAAGAGAGAGAGCTGGATGTTCTCAGGCAATGAGAACTGCTGACGGATCCCGCCCACAGAAAGCCCTGTGGAGGCCTGTGAATACTGTGAAAAGAAAAGGAAAGCTGAGGTAGACCAGCGCACCATCACACGTGAATAGGATACTGCAGTGGAAGCTGTTATACACCTAAAGTAAAAGGGGAGTCCTATTTGCAAGTTTATAACCTAAGAGGAGTTGAGGTGAATAAACCTGTTTGCAAGTCAACCGGCAGCCCAAAGACAACAGTGTTTACAATCATTATTAGCAAGTGTGCAGAGCAGATAAAGTCAGTCATTTAAAAAGGGCTGGGCACAGTGGTACAAAATGGTAATAGCCTAGAAGTCGAAGGGCATGAGATTAACATTTGATCTACTAATTAGAAAATGAAAGGATATGATCAAAGTAGCAAGACTCATGGCTAGCTGGTGATGGCAAATAGGAACAACTAAATTGCAAAACTATCAGAAGTAATGAAACCTAAAAGAAGGGTGAGACAGCTGTTTGCATTAATTATAGTTTGCCTGTAGGCTCTCTTGGCCAGACCTGTGAGATCCTGAAAGATCCAACATTGTGCAATCTGCTTTCAAAAGCACAAACCTTATTGCCAAGGTTTCTGGTTTAAGGGAGGAAGAGCCTGGGACTATTCTGAACAAGGTCCAAAGCACAGTCTCTGCCCTTTGCACCCCCAGGGATTGAGGATTTTCCTCTCCTTCCCTTCCCTTATTCCTAGAGTCCTAAATAAAATGAGTCATCTTCCTTGCTCTACTCGTGACTCTGCTCTACCCCAGATCTTACCGTGTGGTCCCGTTCCACCACCAGCACCCGAATGGCTCCTCGTTGCTTCTCCAGCTTCTTCAGCCAGTAGGCCACAGAGAGGCCAAGCACCCCACCTCCTACGATCACCACATCCGAGTGTTCAGGGGGCAGGTGGCTGCTGTCATATAGTGGATTCCAGGACCCTCCAGGCAGTACTGACTGGATCTTCTTTTTAATCTCAGACACCTGTCCATCCCAGTCTGTGGGACGTAGTTATGGTCAGAGGGCCATACATTTCCTTCCCACATGGTGGGGGGTTGGGGGATGGGCACAGGAAAAGGGATAAATAACACTTGAGATGGCAGTTCCCACCATCATCCCTTCTTGTAGGTCAACTGGCATCCAGCAGTCCTGCCATAACTTTGCTGTATGGTCTCTATACAATCAGTCTCCCTTTTCATGCATCATGCCCAGCACTGCACAATTCAACTTCCTAAAATTAGCACTTTCTCCTCCTCACTAGGCTAGGTGACTCATACAGACCTCTTTCCCCTGAGCCCCAGACTCATAATCAACTGCACTGTCATTTCCACTTGGGTGTTCCAGTCCCCGGAGCAAGAGGTCCCAGCAACTCCAAGCTGTAGTGCCTTCTGAAGCACAGTACCTCTAAGTGGCATCCTTATCCATCGCCACCAGCAAACATACCTTGATGTCCTATGTATAATAAAGTTCTGAAGACTTTGCCTCCCAAATATCTTCCCAATCTGTCCCCTTTCTTTCCATCTCTGCCACCACCATATTAGGCCAAGCCACCATAATCTCTCACCTGGATGAATACTAAAGCCTGTTCCCACTCATTCCCCTTCTAGCCACCCCACCCCTGGTGCTAACTTTTCTACATCATAGGTAGAATGGTCTTTCCTAAACACTAATTTAATCTCATACCACCTTGCTTAAAACCTTCCAATGTCTTTCCATTATTCTAAGGACAAAAGTCCCAAACCTTTAACGCGGTCTGTAAGGTACTGCACAATCTGGCTCCTGTTCACCTTTTCCTCTCCCACACTCCAGCGCCTTCAGTTCCTTGATGGTATCTTATTTCCTCTCACCACAGGGAATCTACATGTGTTCTCTCTGCTTTGAAACTGTGTCCACTTCTTTGCCTAGTTAACTCCTTGCTTCCTTTAGACATCAGCTCATGTATCATTTTCTCAGGAAAGCCTTTCTTAATCCCACAGATAGTCAATTTCTCCAATTACACGATCTCTTGGCTCTGTGAACCTCTCTCCTGCAGTATGCGACACATTTGCAACTTTGAGTTTATTTGTACTTTCTTCATACTATGAGATTCGTGAGGGCAGACTGTTTTTAACTTCACCACCAAATCTCCCACCTAGCACAACAGCTGGCACATCCTAAGTGCTCAGGAAGTGTCTTGAATAAATGAATCCTTTTGTCATTTCATACCTAACTGAAGAATCTCCAAACTCCTCTCAGCAGTACTGGAATCTTTCTTTGATATGGCCTTACCTGTCCACACTACATTCCATGCTACTACTCAAAATTCTCTATCTAGATGGTTTTTGCTAGTTCCTCGCACAAGAACAATACTTTTTCTCCAAAAACTTGTGCTCAGTCCTTCAGAGACTGAAACACATACCGCCCTTGAACCAGTAAACATCCTTCAAGGATGATCTCAGTTCCCGTTATACTAGCTTCATGTACTTCTATGTTATAGTAGCCTCGGGTGTAACAGTGCAGGGCATTCTTCAAGTTGAGCTCTATCCAGTTTTGAACTGGTCTATCGTCTACTGACGTTCTCCCCCTCTAGCTCCAGGAATTTCTAGAACATATAGTGAATCCTCTCTCCACTCCTTCACCGACACAGCACTAAGCACAGCATCTGGAACGCGGGCAGGACTTAATGCACATCTTAGTGCCACCAATGAACCAGCCTGGGTCCCTGTTATTCGGTGGTAAGCTGAGGCACAGACGATGTGGGATTTGTCACCTGAGAAGGGCCACCTTGGGATCCACACACCTACGTGGCCCTACAAGTGTGGCGTTGGGAGCACCCCGGAACCACGATACATTTTGCTGCCCTCAACTTTACCCAGAGTAGAGCCTCCTCTGCGCGTGCCTACCCCTCGGATCAAGAGGTTCCGGCCCAAGCCGAGCTGCAGCACGGTCCGAAGCATGGCCCCTCTGAGAGGTATAGCCTGACCCGGCTGCTGTCCCTCCGGTCACTGCCCCGCGCCACAGGCCATTGAGACGAGCGCTCCCATTGGCCAGCGGTCCCTTCCGGGCCCCGCCCCCCCACGCTATAGGCAGCCGTTCCCGGGTGCCCTCCTTGGGAGCCCCGCCCCACCCCGCCCCCACCCGCCATTGGCTAGCCCTGCATTACGTCAGTCTTGTGCGCCCATGGGCGGAGACGGGGAGGGAAACCGGAGGCTGTGAGCGGAAGTGAGGGTGAGCCGGTTTCCGGGGCCGCTGGCGTGACGTGTCCCCAGCTTGGCGCAGCAGGAAGCGGCGGCGATCGCGGCCTGCGTTCCCGGCGCCGGCCCCAGCTCCTCTCCCGCTGCCGCCATGCTCGACTTCTTCACTATTTTCTCCAAGGGCGGGCTTGTGCTCTGGTGCTTCCAGGGCGTGAGCGACTCATGCACGGGGCCCGTTAACGCGTTGATTCGTTCCGTGCTGCTGCAGGTACCGCCCCCGCGTGATCAGAACTCCGGCTGTTCCTCCCTGAGCCCATCCATGGTCCCCGTCGACTTATCATCCTGCGCCTCCCTCCCGCCCACCTCAGACTGGCCACTCACCAATAACCCGGACTCCACTTCTTTCTCCTGCTCCCCTCAGACTACCCGGAAACTTTGAGACCCCCTTCATCTCCGGTATCTGGGACTGTAGCCGGATCCCAGCCCCTCTTGAGACTTCTCTCGCTCCCTCCACTCACCACCCCCAGCAGCTTGGTTTTCTGTTGTTTCAAGGCTGAGTGAGATAATGGACGGGAAAAGGCCTTTTAAAAACTGTAAATAGTGTACCGCTGCTGGTAGATCTGATTGTTTATATAGTCATATAAATGTGTCTTGACTTCCCCCTCTCACCTTTTTTCCCCTTCCTCTAACTTAGTATCTCCTTCTCTCCCTGGTGGAATGCCAAAGAGAAATGCCTCAACATTCTCTTGTACTGGGGACAGGTTTGCCTTTCAGGGAAATGTCTGGTTCTTTCCCAGAAGTAATCTCAGAGGGGCCCAAATCTGGGTTTTCGGGAGGTAGTCTGAACTCTGAGACATACTCTTTTTTCAGGAACGGGGAGGTAACAACTCATTCACCCATGAGGCACTCACACTCAAGTATAAACTGGACAACCAATTTGAGCTGGTGTTTGTGGTAAGTGGAGGGTATTTCAGAGGGACAATGATTACATTCTCAATATAGTCCTGATTATTAAGAGCACCCAGGGTACATGATGAAGTAACTGAGAAAACTGGGAAGGTGGAGGGGGGAAAAGGAAACAGCTTCTGGGCCCAGGCAGAGAGCTTGGCTGCCTCTATCAGGACAGGGAAAACTGCCAGGTGGCTGAGCCTTCCTCTGAAGGCCTGGGTTGAGGTTGGCTTCCCTCCGTTCTGAGCTAGCATGTAAGCAGATCTGTTGGCTGTTTCTTCCCCCCAAACAGGTTGGTTTTCAGAAGATTCTAACACTGACGTATGTAGACAAATTGATAGATGATGTGCACCGGCAGTTTCGGGACAAGTACCGCACAGAGATCCAACAACAAAGTGCTTTAAGTCTATTGAATGGCACTTTTGATTTCCAAAATGACTTCCTGCGGCTCCTTCGGTGAGAGGCTTCCCCTATTCAAAATCAGTTTCCATGACTTGATGAATTCTCTACCTGAAGGTGTTTCAGTAGTAGTAAATTGTGTTGAAAGACACTTCTCTTTTGCTGCCAGTTCTGATTGTCCTCTTGGTGTTACGGTCCTTTCTCTGGACTTTGATTTTTCCTCCTGCATGGGGTAGAAAGTTCAACCATTCTCTTCTCTTTAGTGAAGCAGAGGAGAGCAGTAAGATCCGTGCTCCCACTACCATGAAGAAATTTGAAGAGTCTGAAAAGGCCAAGAAACCTGTGAGGTCCATGATTGAGACACGGGGCGAAAAGCCCAAGGAAAAAGCAAAGAACAGCAAAAAAAAGGGGGCCAAGAAGGAAGGTGAGTTTGAGCTCCTTGGACATGCTGAGGCATGAAAGGTGTAACATGCTAAGGACTGAGATGGCCCGTCCTTTTGTCATTGCTTGCCTCCCTCTTGCACAAATGCTCACCACCCTGTCATCTCCAGGCCTTGTGGTCCCCGAGATGTTTCCTCTTAAGGATTTGGAAGACATTTAGCCATTGTCTAGTTGGTTGGGAGTTCGTGTTTTTTCCTCCAGTGAGGTTTCTCCTAACAGGTTCTGATGGTCCTTTGGCTACCAGCAAAGCAGTCCCTGCAGAAAAGTCAGGTCTCCCAATGGGGCCTGAGAATGGAATAGAACTTTCTAAAGAGGAGCTGATACGCAGGAAGCGAGAAGAGTTCATTCAGAAGCATGGGAGGGGTATGGAGAAGTCCAGGTGAACATTCTGACTTTTAAATACCGTCTATCGATGTTGGAGGCAAGGGAGCTCTTGTCTCTGGCTCATGTTTCCTTTCCTACTTCTCCACCGTAACCCCTTGCAGCAAGTCCATGAAGTCAGATGCTCCAAAGGAGAAGGGCAAAAAAGCACCTCGGGTGTGGGAACTGGGTGGCTGTGCTAACAAGGAAGTCTTGGATTACAGTACTCCCACCACCAATGGAACCCCTGAGGCTGCCTTGTCTGAGGACATCAACTTGGTAAGAGGCAACAGGGGCCAGAGTGAAGGTTACCATTCATAAGAAGCTGGGAAGTAAGTAGACTAGGTGGGTGATACCTGGATTTCTTTGAATGAGGGAGTGAATTACATCTGAAGCTTCCTCAAATCAAAGAGAGTAATGTGGACATCTCCTTCCTTTCCCCATATCCTACAGATTCGAGGGACTGGGCCTGGGGGACAGCTTCAGGATCTGGACTGCAGCAGCTCAGATGATGAAGCAGCAGCGCAAAACGCCACCAAACCTAGGTAGGGGGACTTCAGATGGGTGGTGGTATGTATGGCTAAAAATTGATGACAGCTTGCCTGTGTGCTTTATATGTATTTGTGATCTGTGCCTGCAGAGCTACCAAGGGAACTCTGGGTGGCATGTTTGGGATGCTAAAGGGCCTTGTGGGTTCCAAGAGCTTGAGTCGTGAAGACATGGAATCTGTGCTGGATAAAATGCGTGATCATCTCATTGGTAGGTTCTGAGGACATGGCTGACTCACTTTCATGGGGGTAGGGATGGTTGAGAGAAGAACCACCTAGAGTCTCTCAGCTGTACCATATACATTGATAGCGTTGAAACGGAACTCACACCTTTCTCTCCTTAGCTAAGAATGTGGCTGCAGACATTGCTGTCCAGCTCTGTGAATCTGTTGCCAACAAGTTGGAAGGGAAGGTGATGGGGACATTCAGTAGTAAGTATCTCCCTGAGCCAGAATGTGCTTATGTGTACCAAGAGGTTACACACATATACCTCCATTCTTACTAGGTATGTGACTTTTGGCAAATTCCTTAACCTATATAATAACCTTCTATTATATAATGAAGGCTTTAAGAGTTACTAAGAGGATTAAATGAGTTAATACTCATAAAGTGCTTAAACAGTGTGGTCTGGATTCCTGGGATAAGATCCTAGTATCGTCCTAGTGCCCTGAGCAGAGAAAGGTGTTGGGCATTTCTGAGTATATTCCTTGAGTTTCATAGCTGTGCCCTCCTCCACATCTCTTTTCAGCTGTGACTTCCACAGTAAAGCAAGCTCTACAAGAGTCCCTGGTGCAGATTCTGCAGCCTCAGCGTCGTGTGGACATGCTCCGGGATATCATGGATGCCCAGCGTCGCCAGCGCCCTTACGTCGTCACCTTCTGTGGTGTTAATGGAGTGGGGAAGTCTACCAATCTTGCCAAGGTCAGTGTGGTTCCCCTGCTTATCGTTGACATTTCTTCACTCTCCACTCATGTCTTAGAACCCTGGTTCTAGGTGACAATTTTCTTACCTCACTTGCACAGATTTCTTTCTGGCTGCTGGAGAATGGCTTCAGTGTCCTCATTGCTGCCTGTGATACATTTCGTGCTGGGGCTGTGGAGCAGCTGCGGACACACACCCGGCGCTTGAGTGCCCTACACCCCCCAGAGAACCATGGTGGCCGCACTATGGTGCAGCTGTTTGAAAAGGGCTACGGCAAGGATGCTGCTGGCATTGCTATGGAAGCCATTGCCTTCGGTACAGTGCCCGAGAAGCATGGGGGCCCCTCCTTGGGTTCCTTTGTATTTTGCAGAGGATCAGGTTTATACTTTTACAAACTTACTGCTCAATAACAGGGAAAAGCCAGGGTTAGTTACTTGCCATGCTCTGCTTTTGGGTAGTAGTGTGTAGCTGCAGGCAAAGCTAATATATCTTTTTTTTTTTGTCTTTTGTCTTTTTCCGTGTCCGGCAACGGATCGCAACCCTCAGTGTTGCCCCCGTACCGGACCGGGGACCGGCAACGGGATCGCAACCCTCGGTGTTGCTCCCGCGCCTCGCTCAGCCAGTGGCCAGTGAGCGGGAACCGGTCTGTATGTGGGATCCAAACCCTCGGGCGGGAGCGCCACTGCGCTTCCCAAGCAGCACACTATCCAGTGCGCCACTGGGCCGGCCCCGAAAGCTAATATATCTTAACCAAAGAAACCTGAATTCGATCATCTTTATCTTATTGCCATCCTTTTCTCGAATATGTTTGGTGCTGGCCAAGCACAGAGTAGGTTTTTTCTCATATAACCCCCTTGGTGTTGATCCCGCGCCTCGCTCAGCCAGTGAGCGGGAACCGGTCTGTATGTGGGATCCAAACCCTCGGGCGGGAGCGCCACTGCGCTTCCCAAGCAGCACACTATCCAGTGCGCCACTGGGCCGGCCCCGAAAGCTAATATATCTTAACCAAAGAAACCTGAATTCGATCATCTTTATCTTATTGCCATCCTTTTCTCGAATATGTTTGGTGCTGGCCAAGCACAGAGTAGGTTTTTTCTCATATAACCTTGTAGCCAAATCTACAGTCCAAGAGAGTAAACATAGGCTTTTAATATAGCCAGACTAGGACTTCTTAAGAGGAAGCTGGACGTGAGCATAAGTGACAATTGAGGATTTTTGAGATGACTATTTTCTCTCTCTAGCACGTAACCAAGGCTTTGATGTGGTGCTGGTGGACACGGCTGGCCGCATGCAAGACAATGCCCCCCTGATGACTGCCTTGGCCAAACTCATTACTGTCAATACACCTGACTTGGTGCTGTTTGTGGGGGAGGCCTTAGTAGGCAACGAAGCCGTGGACCAGCTGGTGAGGGCTTGGGCCTAGTTCCCTTTACAACCTAACCTTTGGCCAGTTAGATGGTTCTCATACTAATACCTTTCCCCTTTCCAGGTCAAGTTCAACAGAGCCTTGGCTGACCATTCTATGGCTCAAACACCTCGGCTCATTGATGGCATTGTCCTTACCAAATTTGATACCATTGATGACAAGGTAAATGTGGATGACACAGGTCAGTGAGACTGGAGGGTGGAATGGGCACCCTTCATATGGGAGCTGAGGCTGTCAGCATATGGTGGCTCCAGAGCTTCCTGCTATTGACAAAAGTGGGCCAGAGTTGATTGCCTATCCCCTTTCTCCACTTCAGGTGGGAGCTGCTATTTCTATGACGTACATCACAAGCAAACCCATCGTCTTTGTGGGCACCGGCCAGACCTACTGTGACCTACGCAGTCTCAATGCCAAGGCTGTGGTGGCTGCCCTCATGAAGGCTTAACGCAGCTCTTGCCTGATACCAAATCACTGCTTCCCCCCATAAGCACCTATTCCTATATCAAGAATGTGCTTTAGAGTATGTGAGCAACTTGTCTTCAGTGTAGTTCAAAGACAGAGTGAGCGGAGCTCCAGGGGCTTGCAGCTCCTTGTAACCCCACTCCCTGCTCAGTCCAGCCTCCCTCAACAAGGAGCGCCTAATCATGTTACAGTCACCGCCCACTGACCCCAGACCGGCCTCCCCCTTCCTACTCAGGCATCCTCTTTACTCTGCCTAGAGACTCTCAAGTCTCATTACAGCTTTGACCAATGGTTGGAAGATCCAATACCAGAGCGTTGCTAATTAGTATGATCATAGAGCCATCTGAGTCTAAGGAGCAGTTTAAAGTCCCAGCTCCATCAGGTTAAGAGAGACTTCCAGAGCCAGCTCTGGGTCTTAAATGGCACCTTTCCCTGGGGTACACAGCTTTCAGGTCCCTGAGGCCAGGATGATACCCACCTCACTGTGGTAGTGTATGGCCTGTTCTTAATTGCTGCTAATCCTAATTCTGATCATCATCCCCTACCCCATTATTTCCCCCAAAGCATCAGCTAGGCCAGAGTGATTTGTTACAAATGAGCAAAAGAAGAGTCTCTGTATCCCTAAGAAATAAGGGGAGCCAAGCTGCACTGTTGCATTGAGCTTCTCAGCCTTCCACCTCTTCCCCACTCCTGGAATTCACATGTAAGCTTTGCATGTTCCCTTGTTGGGAGAAAACCAACTGTCAGAAGGGTCTACATTGCCCCCTCCTCCAGCCTGTTCTTCACCTCCTGAGCGGGTCCTGGCTTTTCCTCATCCCTATCCTCTACAGTGCCTGGTAGACAAGTGCTACGTTGAAGAATACGAACCTCTTGTTAAGACTTGTCCTGTAGTGTGGTATTACAGATGTGCTATTAGTGCAATAAGGTGAAGGCTGTCTGCCCAGAGAAATACATAATTTATATAAGAAAATAAATTTCATAAATAAATTGCCTTTTAGGTCTTGGAGTTATTTTATATAAGATTCAAAACTAAAATCCCACATCACACTAAGTTCTAGGGCATATGTATGGTTAAGAAGGGCAACAAGGCAGGAACTGATATGCCTCCAACGAATGAGGTAAGTAATGGCTGTCCCGAGAAGACTGCCCCATCCCAAGGTGAAAGAACAGAACCTTTAAAATTTTGAGTTGTAAAATTACTAGTACCTTGATGTAAGTTAGAGTTTTCTACAGTGGCTCTAAAAGTAGAGCCAGGGCCCTGACAAGTAAATGAACAAGCTTTTAATACAGCTCAGTTATGTAAAATACTGTACACTGTAAAAGATCTAGAAAACTAGAGCTTCAAGTCATTTTTTAAAAAGCTATTAACTTAATTGAAAAACCAAGTATAGAGTACAAAACTGCAACAGGAGCCAAGGTCGTTTCATGGCATCTGGATCCCCAAGTCCTTTATGCAGAGCTGCAGTCACAATCAATGGAGGTATCACATTGATTTGCTGTGTGGACACAAGCATGTCCAGCTGGGGGGGTAGGGTGTAGGCTGCATTTGGGTCCCCTTGTCACTTGAGTAGTCTTGAACTGGAACAGGCAGCAGAATATCAAGAACCAGACAGCTTGAAGGATTAAGTTGGAACATTTCCCTCCTACTCTACCCCCACCCTTCAACCTCTATGTGTTGGCCTGGGAGCTGTGTTGGGTTCTTTTAAGTTTACTTGTTAAACACTGTCCATGGTAGGGCCTTATAGCTTGGTCTGATGATGGTGATTTCTCCAGCCTGTTCATGTACCGTACAGCCTGTGGAGAGAAAGAAAAGAGAATAATACGAAGTTTCACAAAACGAGTTAATGCATCTAAAGTTGCAGATATTTAAGTCAATCTTAACCTTTCAGAAGGCAAGACATAGTAGATGCTAGTAATCTTGTAATAGACTTGATAGGAAAAGGTACACCCTTAATACATGGGAAAGGTAAATCACTATTCTCCAGAGTCTTAATTAAGGAAAATTTTCTGCTGACAGATGGATAAATAACAGAACAGAAAATAGTATACCTCTTATTTCACTGTGTGCTGCAGATGAGCCATTTAGCTGACCTTCTCTCACCATCCCTGCCAAATATAGAGTGCATGAGTACCAGACTGAAAAGCTAACAGCAAAAAGAAAACCAACTAAAGGGAGATGAGGGCACAACTAAGACAGATGGAATTTAGAAGTCAAACGACAAAGGTGGGGAGAATAACTGGACTAGTCTTCAGAGAGTTGCATTAAATAACAGGGCAACAGTAAGATTCCTTATTGCATTCAGATTGCTTGTAAACAAAACATTTTATGTAGGCAAAGTGTCTGCTATTCCTTAGTCTAGAAAGCTAAGTTTAGGTTAAAAAAAACATTCAGTCTCACCAGGGATGGGGAGCAGCATGTGATTGAGCAAATTCAACCAAGAAAACTGGAAAGTAGCAGGTATTTCCACAATATAAAATGGGCTAGATCTGCACTGCCTGATATGGTACCACAAGCCACATAAGGCTACTTAGTTTCTTTTTTATTTTATTTTATTTTATTTTTTTTAAAGATGACCGGTAAGGGGATCTCACCCCTTGGCTTGGTGTTGTCTGCACCACGCTCAGCCAGTGAGCTAAACCGGCCATTCCTATATAGGATCCGAACCCGTGGCCTTGGTGTTATCAGCACCACACTCTCCCGAGTGAGCCACGGGCCGGCCCAAGGCTACTTAGTTTCAAATTAAGAATTTTGTTTCTCAGTCACACTGGTCACATTTCAAGTGCTCATTAGCCCCATGTGGCTATGGCACTGGACAGTCAAGATTATAGAATATGTTTGTGATTGCAGAAAATTCCATTGGACAAAACTGGGATAGATAATGGTATAGAAAAAAGTATAAAATGTGAAAGAAAATAATCAGAAATATGGTCAATTAGAATATAAATAGACATACAAATTGATATTCCCCTCTTGGAAAGCAATTTAGCATTATAGTGACCACTAAAATGTTCATGACCTTTGATGTCCTAATTACACTGAGAACACACCCTAAGGAAATTACTGGCAAAAGGAAAAACTAAGCAATATTACTTATAATAGAGAAAAGTAGAAAAAAAATCAGAAATTTTCTAACAGGGGAATAATCAGTTAAATTATAACATCCACCCTGGAATATAACAATTAAAAATAGTTATGAAGACCAGCAATTGGGAAAATGTATGATGTACTATGGAATAAAAAAGGTACCAAAACTGTATGTATACTTTATTTACAACTATGAAAAAATGCATGGGGGAAACTGTTAATCAGAAATATACCAAACTAACTGCTTGTGTGGTAATGAATTATAAGAGAATTGTTTTCCTTGTTCCCATTACTTGATTTTTCTGAAATATATGTACTAGATCCTACAGAATCTTTTGAAGTCAAGTCATGTTCACTATGTAAGAGTACACAACACAATGCCAGACACACAGCAAATGCTCAGTGTTAAATAACAAAACAGCAGCAAAAGATCTCTTACCTCTTATCAGTGTATACCTACAGATAAAATCTCAGAAGTCTCAAGTGTGAGAAAACAGCAGACGAGTTTGGAACACTGCAGGACACCAGAAAAACTTATCCCCAAGAAAGAATAGCAAATAGTTTTCACAAAAGAGACAAACCAGACGGTATGTCCTAAGGGTTTTCTAAACCTTCTGGAGGAAGAGTAGATATAGTTTGCAGTGTTTAGTTATGGTGACGGCTTTTAAAAATCTTGTTCCAAGGCTGGCCGTTTAGCTTACTTCATGTTAGTAACACCAAGGTCAAGGGTTCAAATCCCAGTACCAGCAAGCTGCACCCCGCCCCCCTGCCCCAAAATCTTGTTCCATCAAAACATAGCCATGGAAGAGCTTGTGGAATTTTTCATTACAGGTGAATTCTACTTGAAGCCATCTGATTCAGAAAAGAAATCTGGGAATGATTAGACTTAAGAAAAGTTCTTTGGGCCGGCCCGGTGGCGCACTCGGGAGCACGGCGGCGCTCCCGCCGAGGGTTCGGATCCCATATAGAGACTGGTCCGCTCACTGGTTGAGCGCAGTGCGGGCGCAACACCGAGGGTTGCAATCCCGTTGCCGGTCGCGGTACGCCGGTTCCCGCTCACTGGCTGAGCGAGGTGCAGGTGCAACACCGAGGGTTGCGATCCCGTTGCCGGTCACGAAAAAAGACAAAAAGGGGAAAAATAATAATAATAAAAGTTCTTTACATATTAAATTACCTATACTTTAATAGGTCCCCTAAGAAGCATTCAGGTTGACAACAAAAATACTTACTAATATATAACCTTTCAGGAACATCTTCTGTGTACAACAGCAAAGTTTCTTTGGAACTGGGTGGGTGAGCCAGAATGGCCATACTTGGAGCCTGGCTTTATCCAATGTATGGTTTTAAAAAGCATTCTTCAATTTTTACTCATTCATTCATTTACTGGCAGCTGAACAGTACGGGGATCCGAACCCTTAACCTTGGTGTTATCAGCACCACACTCTTACCGACTGAGCTAACCAGCCAGCCCTCTGCATTCTTCAATTTAGGTGATACTAAAACATTTTGCATTTTGTAGGGTTATTGGGAATTTGCCTGTAGCCATTAACTAACCAAACCCTTTATCACCATTTTGTTCTTGATTGTTAGAACCTGAAAGTAAAATACCAAGTGAGTGGTACCACTATCCTTTGACTTTAATACCATCATAATAGTTTCCAAACAGCATTTTAAAAGGTTTTCTGTTTTATGGATAATGCAAAGTCACTGTAGAAAATGCTGACATAGAAACAAAAAACCAACACACGATAACCACAGTTAGTTTAATTTCTTTTAGGATAAATTGTATTGATGGGATTTCTAGGTCAAAGGTTTTTAAAGTTTTTGATTCATAATCTAAATTTATCTTCATAAAAGCTGTACTAACTTTACCTTCCCACCAACAATACATGAATAAATTTCTTTCCTCATAGCCTCAGCCAAAACTGACTGTTAGGAGCTCCTGAGACTAGCAAGATCAGCATCACTCACCATAACTTCGGTGTTCCTGAGCACGTGATATTTATCTCTTTTTTGAAATCTAAATTCTAATTGCATTTCATTGATATCTAGTGAGGTTGAACATCTTTAATACACAGCCAGCCCCTGACTTATGATGGTGTGAAAGCGATACACATCCAGTATGCTTCTCGACTGATGATGGGGCTACACTCAGACCAATCGTTAGTTGAAAATGCACTTTCAACTTAGATACAGGTTTATTGGGACATAAGCCCATTGTAAGTCAAGGAGCATCTGTATTTTTTTCATTCTTCCTACTTCTATACAGAACTGCTGGAGTGCACCTTTTGTCCATTCTCCTATTATCCAAATGGCATTTCAGTCTAACCTAAAGACTGTGACCTCCTTTCACAATTTGGTCAGGTACTACATTCCTCATCTTGGTAATTATTTTGCCCATCACAAATAAACAAAAGGCTGAAGAGCTGCTGTTCTCTGATCTCCCTCAGTCTCAAAATGCATCGTACCTGATCTACCTCTCGTGGAGATCTCACATGTCAGTCTCTTGAAATACTCTGGAAGATCAGCATAGTCATTTCCATAGGAGATGACTTTAATCCCCCTGTCCAGCATGTTTTCTCGAAGGCTGTTGAACTCGTCTATGTCTCCTCTCCGAACCAGCATGAAATGCTCCAAGATGGATTTATGCTTTACAGCCTCCAGGCAAAGGGCCTGGAAAGTAGTGTCATTCACAGTCCAGCCACAACCCAGGAAAAGGAATGACTTGTTTTCGTAGAGTTTCTGAATCTCTCTCTTGAAAAAAAAGAAAAAATGTATTAATGACACTGTGAAGACACACACAAGGCATGTCTGAAACTAAAAAAGCCAATGAGTTCACAACTGCTACATTTAGCAGACTGTGATGACCAATTAACCAAGATTTAAGAGGGCAGATATGTTTGATCTCCTGTTTATTACTATAACGTGATTGGTCTAAAATTTTCTTTACCTGGCATTCTTCTCTGGGTTCTCTAATCAGGGTTTCACTGGGTTGGCACTGGTCTTCTGGTCTTGTGGTTTATTTTTTAGATTTAAGCACCCAGAGATCATCAGTCAATGAGTAATTCTTCAATACAGTCATGCATCACTTAATGAGAGGGATATGTTCTAAAGAAATGTGTTAGGCAATTTCATCATTTTGTGAATGTCATTAAGTATACTTACACAAACCTAGGTGGTAAAACCCACTACACATCTAGGCTATATGGTACAACCTATGGCTCCTAGGCTTCAAACCTGTACAGCATGTTACTGGAATGAATACTGCAGGCAACTGTAGCACTTAGTATTTGTGCATCTAATCATCGAAAAGGTACACTAAAGATATGGTAAAAAAAAAAAAATGGTACAGAATAGGATAAAAGGATAAAAACTGGTACACCTGTACAGGGCACTTGCCATGAACAAAGCTTACAGGTCTGGAAGTTGCTCTGGGTGAGTCAGTGAGTGATGAATGAATGTCTACACTACTGTAGACTTTATGAACACTGTACGCTTAGGCTACACTACATTTATGAAAAAAATTAAGTAACTATGCTATGATGTTGTGTCAGCTACATAGCTATAATGAAGCTGATAGGAATTTTTCAGCTCCATTACAATCGTATGGAACCACCACTGTATATATAGTCTGTTGTTGACTGAAACATCATTATGTGGCATGTAACTATATTTTACTCTTTCCATTTTCTGGACCATATTTGCCTTTTCTTGCCATACAAACTGAACCAAGGGTCACCAGAGAAGATTTACTCAACGGAAGCCTGACACTTAAAACATCAATATGTGTGTGTGCACATGTGTGTTGTGTGTGTACATACATGTCTATATGCACGTGTGTATATATACATACAACACATATATAATCAAATGATTCTGCTTCGGGGACCACTCAATGTCAGTGATGGATGCAGTTACAGCAGATGTCAGGGAAAGAAGAGATGAAAAAAAGTCCCTTACACTTTAGAAAACATCACATTTTCTTTGTGTTTCTTTTGCTGCATCATGTAAAGATGCTACTGTTCCATGTGACCCAGTTCTGAAAATAGCCAGAATACACAATTCTCAAAGAGCCTATGGCCTGACACCTTAGAAGAAGTGCTGCACTTCCTAGGACGACATGCACACCGACCAGCTAAGCAGCACAAGAAGAATGGCTGACCTTCCAGTTGTTGATTAATGAAAAGGAAACTTTCCCTCTTTAAGACCTAAAGCACATTTAGAAGCTTCCCAGGAAGGAGCTCCTGAGACTAGCAAGATCAGCATCACTCACCATAACTTCGGTGTTCCTGAGCACGTTCTGATATCCAGCTGGATGAAGCACAATGCCACTAGGGTTGGTGTAGACCCCATGGATATGAAATATACTCAGCTTCCGCTTCTCCTGAGCCCACTCTAGAACCTGCACAATACACGTATAGCTCAACCAGGTTGGCAGGGCTGAGTTCCTGCTTAATGGTTGCAATGGGCAAGAGGCTATTTTGAGGACTAGACTTCTGACATAACTCTCCAGCATCACGGTATCATAGGATATGCAAAATCATTTGTGGTCAAAGTTTCCATTTCAGGAATGACTGTTAGGAATAACAGCAGCAAGTCTAATGATTTCTCTTTGAAAATAATAATCAAAAATTAGAACTTATATGTCATCATTTGCATATAAGGACTCTTTTCACTGGAGACATACACGGGATCTTTGGATGACTGCTTGAGTGATGGCCCTAAGAAATCAAGCCTCCCTGTGTGTAGGCCCTTGTGTAGTCCCTTTTCACAGTGACTCCAGGCTGGCCATTTGACATACTTTAGCCAAAGGGGCATTAGCAAACATGACACAAGCATAAGCTTTTAAAGTGTTGGCATAACAAGTCTTATTTCCCTCTTCTGTTGCTTTTGGATCCCAGATGCCATATGAAGAAGACCGACAAAGCCTGCTAGAGACATATGGCCCAGCCAATTCCCTGCATCTACAGATGTGGAAGCGAGGCCATCTTACATCATCCAGCCCCAGGATGGCCACCAGATGATTAGAGCCATGTGAGTAAGCCACAAAGCCGACAGATGAACTGCCCAGCTGAGCCCACCTCAAACTGCTAATTCATTTTATCATGGGCAAGTAATACGTTTGCTGTTTTAAGCCATGAAGTTTCAGGGTGGTTTCTTATGTAGCAATAGATGAGTGATAAAAGAATCACTCTAGGCACCTCTAAGAAACCTAAAAGGCTGCCAATGAAGAGCAATCATTTAGATGACAGTGACTACCATAGCTACCTGGATTTTTTGGCACCATTTTCCCAAGGACTTGAGAGAGTATAAATTTATTCTTATCACGTTTGGAAAATTAGGGTACAGGTTAGGAAAAATAGTTAAGAGGCTCAGAGATTCAGAATTTGAATATTACTAGGCCCCATTCTGACTACCAGCCAATGGCTTTAACCATTGTCAATACTGCCCCTAATGTGAGCTAAAAATACAAAGCAGATCTTGAGGTTCAAGGATGAAATGAGAAAGAAAATATCAAGTCTGACAGATATCTGCAGCTTTGAAAAGGCCTTGTGCTTCCGATGCCCATGAATAAATGGTTGTGGTCTTTGGAAATTATGTCAGAAACAGCATGGAAGCTGTTCTAGCCACTCATTTTTGAATTTCATTCAATCATTTCTTAATTTAAAGAATATTTACTAAGCACTCACTATGTGCCAAGTACTCTTTGAGACATGAGAGTAAGGCTGATATGATACCTGACCAAATGGAGTTGCTATTCATGTGGGGTAAAGAGTCAGAAAACAAACAGATGAACAGCCAAAATAAAAAGTACAAGTTACAGAAAGTGCTGTGACGGAAATGGACAAGAGAATGAACCAAAAAATAACTGTCTAATTTAAAAAGGATTGTCAAGGGCTGGCCTGTGGCTCACTCGGGAGAGTGTGGTGCTGATAACACCAAGGCCATGGGTTCGGATCCCATACAGGGATGGCCGGTTCACTCACTCGCTGAGCGTGGTGCTGACAACACCAAGCCGAGGGTTAAGATCCCCTTACCGGTCATCTTTTTAAAAAAAATAAAATAAAATAAAAAGGATTGTCAGAGAAGGTCTGTCAGAGGAGGTGATACTTATGTTGAGATTTATAGGTGAAGGACAAGCTGGCCATGCAAAGTGTGAGGGAGCAGGTGGAAAACATTCCAGCCAGAGAAAACCAGTCATCAGGGCACCATTTCTCTAAATTCGATTCCCTTTTAAAATCTGGCTTCAAGATCAGCAAAACCACAAGAGTGGTATTATTATAGCTACTTCTTTGGCAGAGGCAGTACTGTGGCAATGAATGCCAATGGGTGAATCAATTAACTACTTAAAACATTTAGCTGAGGGCTGGCCCGGTGGCGCACTGCGCTAGTGCGCCGCTTGGGAAGCGCGGCGGCGCTCCCGCCTAGGGTTCGGATCCCACATACAGACCGGCCGCTCACTGGCTGAGCGAGGCGCGGGGGCAACACCGAGGGTTGCGATCCCATTGCCGGTCCCGGTCCGGTACAGGCACAACACTGAGGGTTGCGATCCGTTGCCGGTCACGAAAAAAGAGACAATAGACAAAAAAAAAAAACAAAAACAAAAAAAAAAACATTTAGCTGAGCTCTAAGTTGGACACAAAGACAGGTTCCTGAGGAAAACAAAGTGTAGAATGAAGATTACAAAAACCACAGAGCAGGATAAATGAGACCTTAAGCAGTCATCTCATTAGTTGATACAGATCAATATTATATTATTAGTTGGCATAGATCAATATTCAATATTATGGCAGACAGCTTAGATATGATACGGGTTATGTTAAGAAAAAAGAAAAAAAGTCTACTGAGGTTTGTACTGATCATTAACTTCAACCCAGCTATCACTTGGCCTGGAAGTTGCTCTTCCAATCATCATAAGGTAGTTTTCCTACTTTCCTAATAGATGGTATAAAGAATGTATTCTAGGAGAGAAATCTAAATCAGTATCATACCGTCAAGTGCTAAAGATACTATTTGAGTTTAAATGATTTCCTCTAATCTTGTTTTAAAACTGGGTGAAACTGCCAGAATTCATAGAATTGAATGCTTTTAAGATCAGTGCATTTTACTGTGTATTAATTTTACCTCAAAAACAAAACATACCCCCCAAAATCTAACCAGGGATAAGAATATTCCTTTCTAACTCTGCATAAGTACCAGTATATCAACTGGAAATCAGTGTTGCTGATGAAGATACAACCCACTAGCCCAAAGAATAGACTTTTTACCTTTTTCTGATCAGTAAGGTCAAGGGATTCAAGTTGCTTTCCCTGATCTGCTGCATATAGTTCCAGAAGATTATCAAAATTAGTAGTTAATACTAGGGCTCCATTTTCCATCAGGTGAAGAACTGAATGAAGTAGTTGTTTTCCAGAATCTTCCATCTTTGACTCCAAGTCATCAAATACTTCATATAAACAGTCCTTGAAAAACGTGGATCGAACATTACTGGTACGCTGGGGGAGCAATTTGAAAGAGGAAAATTAATCCAAGATGTTCTGGTAGGTCATTTGACTTAATTACAGTAATAAATGTTTGAAGAATACTTTGTACTTAAAAATAGAGATATTATCTGTTTTAAAGGGTTGTAATAAAGAAAATGGGACGATACATGCAAAGTATTTATCACAATACCTAGCAAGTGATCAATACTATTACACCTTATGCAAACAAGCATAAGCTCTCTAAAGAGGCATTTTTATAGAATGAAGAAAATAGGCATGGCCAAGAGATGTGAATTTACTATGGGACTAAAGGAGAGCTGGGGTAGATAGCACAGCACCAACTACCCTCGAAAAGGCAACACTTTCTGTTACACTCTTTTTATCTAGGAATAACTACTAAAAGCTCTAAGTGTGGTTTAGTATTTCTTTTTCTTTTCTTTTTTTCCTTTTTGTCTTTTTTCGTGACCGGCAACGGATCGCAACCCTCAGTGTCGTGCCCGTACCCGAACCGGACCGGGACCGGCTACGGGATCGCAACCCTCGGTGTTGCTCCTGCACCTCGCTCAGCCAGTGGGCAGCCGGTCTGTATGTGGGATCCGAACCCTCGGAGGGAGCGCCGCCGCGCTTCCCAAGCGGCGCACTGTACCAGTGCGCCACCGGGCCAGCCCTAGTATTTCTTTTTCTAATCCCAGGTTTTGTACAGCTGCTTATGGATTTAGAAAAAAACCACTCAACTTCTCCCTGCCTGTTATTTCCCTGGCATAATCCAGCAAGCTATTCACAGGTTTGCTATATAAAGAATACCTAGCATATAATAAAATTATACAAAATTTAATAAATTTTATAATTGAAACTTGCATTTTGCAATTGTTAAAAATATAAAAAACTAATCAGTTCTACATAGACTCCCTATTTCTTAACATATGGTTTACTTAAATAAATGCTTTCCCATATTCTTTTATTTTTTTTTTGCAGCTGGCCAGTATGGGGACCCATATTCATTTTGATTACATGTAAATATCCCTGAGGACGAATGAAGAAATATAACGCCAACCTAAGGTGTAAAGTTGGAGTTGAAACTTAAAGCACAAAGTGACCCCTGGGACAAAAGGAATTTGAAATGGGAAAGTAATTATGTAATGTGCTGTAACAAATATATGATCCCTAGCCTAGCAGTGAAATACCATCCCATTAGATAATATCAGAGCAAGAATTAACTCTTAAAGGCCCCAATATTTCCCATTCGAACTACAAATTATTGCACTTAGCTGCTAGGGAGTAAATATTTAGCAATCCTGCTTTTTCTCAAAATAGTCCCCCTATCTTCCTAGTTTCCTCTGTGTATCTTTCTAACTGTGCAATGCTCAGATAAAGATCTGTTTCCATGGAACCACCTAAGCAGATTCATAAAACACATTTCAATTTGCCAAACTCTTTCCCTAATTTGTCAAAGTATTTTATAAAATTATTCTTTAATCATACCTAAACCAAATAAATGGTAAGTATCTTCACAATGGAAACTTAAAGCATAGAGATGAAACACCTGTAATTTATCTGGACTCTGTCCATCAATCTTCCATGCTGTATCCACCACTAGACAGGCTACTTGCTGTACCATACTGTCAGTGGGTTCAAAGATTCTTTTCTAGTACTAAATAGATGGAACCACCCATAATTTGTGTGGCTAAGAATGTGGGTCATGGTTTTTAACTTCTTTCCATTCTTATCACATAAGGGCATAAATAAATACATCACATATTAATGGTGTATGGGCAACCAACTAGGGATTCTAACACAATCTAATCCGAATGAACAATCTGATCAGAAACAAATAGTGAAGAATTTATAACTCTACTGAATTTCACTACATGCAAAAGTCAACTACTACTGAGTGCCAGGCAATCTTCTAGATTTGTTATAAAAAATATGCTGCCCCTTTAATGTCTATCAAATTTACAAAACCATTTAGCAATTCCATTTCTGGGAATGTATCACACAGAAATAACTGCAAACAAATGAAGTGAAATATACAAGGTTATCATTGTTTCATTATTTGTAATAGCAAAAGACTGGAAACAAGCTAAGTATCCACACATAGGAGACTGGCATAGCCAAGTACCCATATATACAAGAAAAGATCTCCAGGATATACTGTTAAATACAATGAACATACTGAGAAACAGTATGTCTAGAATGCTAACTTCTGAGTTGGGGGATGGAAGTAGTGAGATAAGTATAGTCCTACTTACTTGTATTTGAAAAAGAAACACTGAAAGGATACACAAAGAACCTGTAACAGTAGTGATCTACATATGGGAGGTGGGTTTGTGGAGAAGAGACAAAGACATAAGTGGAAGTGAAATGTCTCAATATATCTAAACTTTTTTAACATTATTTCTGCAATGTATGTAAACACCACCTATTCAAAAAAGCAAAATTAAATTTAAAATTAAATTAAGAATATGGTGACTTCCTTGTTTTTCCTATTAAGAACCTAGCTGGGCTGGTTGGTTAGTTCAATTGGTTAGAATGTGGTGTTGACAGCACCAAGGTCAAGGGTTCAGATCCCCATACTGGCCAGCTGCCAAAAAAAAAAAAAGAACCTAGTTATGTTTTATAACTTCATTTTGTACCCTGACTCACACAACCATATTCCAACACCAGTTTAGTTATTACTCACACAACCATATATACCATATTCTAACACCAGTTTAGTTATTACGCACACAGATTAAAAGGCCTATGTATACAATCTCGTAATCACTGGTGTGAAATATATTTTCTTGCTTCTAAAAAAAGGAATACAAAAGGTTAACACCTAGAAATAAATTCACTGACTCACTTATTTTAGCTAAATATCTTTTAGTCCTATTTCTTTAAGTTACTAAATCTTGCTTATCAACATAGAAAGGAAGGGAAGAAGTGGTGCACCGATTTCCTCAGACTTCTTTTTTTTTTTTTTTTTCCCTAAAAGATGACCGGTAAGGGGATCTCAACCCTTGGCTTGGTGTTGTCAGCACCACACTCAGCTAGTGAGCAAACCGGCCATCCCTATACAGGATCCGAACCCGTGGCCTTGGTGTTATGAGCACCGCACTCTCCCGAGTGAGCCATGGGCCGGCCCTTATTTCCTCAGACTTAAAATGAAAGTTTTTCTCTCTTAAAGCAGGTGACCCTAGGACTAAATTTCCCACCAGTGGCTTCTACAAGACAAAGGAATGAAAACATAAACAGGGAAGTTCAGCAGTCAAAAGGAAATGTTGAACTCCCACACAATTTCTAAGGACCTTTTCCTATTCATTTAAAACAGTGAACTGAATCCAATGCTACTTCATTTCCCTCTATCCTGTAACTCTTATCTTTCTAGTCCCAGACAGACTAAAAACAAAACAAAAAAGGGCTGGCCCATGGCTCACTTGGGAGAGTGTGGTGTTGATAACACCAAGGCCATAGGTTCGGATCCCTATATAAGGATGGCCGGTTAGCTCACTTGGGAGAGTGTGGTGCTGACAACACCAAGTCAAGGGTCAAGACCCTCTACCGGTCATCTTTTAAAAAACAAACAAACAAACAAAACCCAGAAAAACCACTGACTCTGTTTCCTAACATAACTAACATTTCTAGGGCATTTACTATGTGCCAGACACTTTATATACATTATCATCACAAAACCCTAAGAGGCAGTTAATATCCCAGTTTTATAAGTGCAACAACAGATGTTGAGAAGTTAAGCAATTCGCTCAGGGTCCCAGTGCATTTAAATGGCAGTCTTTCTGATTCTGAAACCCAAGCTCTTTGCACTGAATCTACAATGTCAATTCCCTCCTACATGAAACTGACTCAGCGAATGGGCCTATTAACTCTCCCATGTTACTACTGATTGTTACATTTGATTCTTTTCTTTTTTATTTTGAACATTTTCAAACATACACAAAAGTAAGAGTATTAAAAAAACTCCCATGTACCTATCACCCAATTTTAACAATTATCACCCATGGCCAATCTTGTTTGACCTAAACTCCTCTCCACCATGCCCTCTTCTGCACTTCCCTGAATTTTTTAAAGCAATTCCCAGGCATCACATATCATTTCATTCATAGATACTTCAAGATGTTCCCTAAAAGATAAGGACCTCCCTCTTTTAAATATAAAGCAAAACATAACTGCAATACCACCATCACACCTTTAAAAAATGTGGTATCAAATATCAAATGATCAGTGTTCAGGTTTCCCCAGACATCTCTTTTTTTTTTTTTAGCCATTGTGTAGCCTGTATTTTTTCTTACATATCCTCTATTGCAGTGGTTCTCAAAATGTGGCCACTGGACCCCACAGATCCATAACACTTTTTTTTTTTTTTTTTTTGGCGCTGGCCAGTACAGCGTAACACTCTTTAAGGGGCTGGCAAAGTCAAAACTATTTTCATAGTAATACTAAGACAATATTTGTCTTTTAAACTGTGTTGACATTGTTAGTGATGGTGCAAAAGCAATGGAAGGTAAAACTCTTAGTGCCTTAGTATGAATCAAGGCAGTGGACCCAAACTGTGTTAGTAATTACTAAATTCTTCAAAGGCTTACGGTAAAAAAAAAAAAAAAAAAAAAGCCAGTTTCACTTAAGAATGTCCTTAATAAAGCAGTAAAAATTACTAGTTGTATTAAATCTTTTTTTTTTTTTTT